CCTGTCCCCGGCCGTGGCATACGCGCTCGTCTCATTACTAACTTTATTACGTGGTGCAGCAACCCGTCAGGACAGGGAGGCTGTTCTCGCTGCTGCCGGACAGAGAGCACATGCCCAGCACGTGGGCCGGGGGAGGGGCCAAATACCCATTTGCAGCAAATACCTGTCCCCGGCGCCCCAGGAAGGGGTTCCCTAGTCAGACCTTTGCTCCAAACACACTTCCCCACGGTTTGCAAAGGGACGTGATCGCAGGGGCGTTGCTAGGCCTGCTGCCTGGCCCTGCCGCTCAGCCCGCTCGGAGCTGTTTCTGTCTTGTCGCCTGTGCCATCGCCTTTGTGCATGTTGCTCGGAAGGAGCCATGAAGGGGAGGAGGCCCCGGGCCCCTCTTCCCACAGTCAGTTTATGTTCTGTCACCTGCTCTTCCCCGGCACCTTCCTCCGAGGCCAGCGGGCCGGGCACCAAGCGCCCGCCATCTGTCGCCTCTACCCAGGGCTAGAAGATGGGGGTTTGGAAAGGAACCCAGCAGACTCCCCGATCCAACAAACCTCCACTCAGCAGAAGGGAGGGCAAGAGGACCCCGGGGGAGAAAGTCCCTCTCCAGGGTCCCTGGGAGGCGGCCTCTGTCCAGATGTCAGGGCAGCCCCCGCCCGCCTGCGGGGAGCCGCGGGCTGAGCTGCAGGAGCCGCCAGGAATCTATTTTTATTTGGTGCTGTCTTGACTCTCCCTGCTTTGGGTGGAGAAGGAGTCTGGATTCCGCAGACGCCTCAGTGAGCACAAACAGGAGCGGGCGGTGCCAGGGCTGTCACTCCTCCTCCGTGGTTTGGACGGGGCTTCCTGGTGGAGACCGGCAGGCCAGGAGCAGGTGGTTTGCTTTACAGAGCGGCCCACGGGTGGCCAGGGAGGGGAGCGCCGTGCCCAGGGACAGATGTCTGCCCCCTGCCAACGCTGGCTTTCCCAGCCCCGGCTGAGGACTTGGGGGGTATGTGTGTGTGTGTGTGTGTGTCTGTCTGTCCCTACTTGTGTCCTGAAGACCTCCAGGCCAAAGCAAGAAGGTGGCCATGGCATACCCGGGCAGGAAGGATGCTTGAACCTTTCCAAGGGCAGAGCCAACTAAGCCCTGGGATTCCTGGTTGGGTCTGGGGGTGTGGCAGGAGCCTGGGGGCGGGGGCACTGCTAGGAGACGCAGCCCTCAAGTGCGTCATTCCTCTGGCCACACCTTCGGCCATCTGCTCAGGGCTGCCCTCCCTGGAGGGCGCGGCACGGAGCTCGAGGTGCGGAAGGGGCTCTCTTGCTGCTGAGCTCTCTGGTTCCCTGTGGCTCGGTGACTGACCTCTCTCTCCGCATGATGTCTCCTGTCCCCGTCGGCACCTCTTTCTTCCTCTCCCCTGTCCCTCGTCTCGGCCT